GGGAGGGAGCGGGGAGCAGGCCGGGGCTCCTGGGAGGGGCTCCTGGGAGGGAGCGGGGAGCAGGCGGGGGCCTAGCGGAAGGGCTGGAAAGGCCACGGCCGTAGCCCAGCGCCCGCGCCCAGCCCGCCAGTCTCGTGACAGCCTACCTGGGCAGAGGGTGCTAAAAAAGGCCCCCAGCGAGTCCACTTTCCCCGTGACCAGCTCGTAATTGACTTCTTTCTGGTACTCCGCCGGCGTGAGGAGGCTCTCGGAGAGAATCCGGGCTTGGTATTTCCCTGGAAAACAAGCCCCTTCCGCTGGAGGCCCGCGCAGCTCGCAGGCGAGGCCCGGAGAGGCCCGGTCTGTCCCGCTGCAGCCTGGGTCCAGCAGCAGCCCGGCCAGAGCACAGGTGAGCACAGGAAAGGCTGGGGCGTGCCCGCCCCAAGGGGGGAGCCGGGGGGGGAGCAGCAGTGGCCGCGAGCCCCGAAGCCGCCAGGCAGCAGAGGCCGCACCCCCCCGCTTCGGCTCACCAGGTCACCCCGCGAGGTGGCAAGACCACGGGCAGGCGGAACGCAGAGGCTGCCCGCGCCTGGACACCGTCATCACAGACAGCCTCTTTGGGCATGTCCCCTTCCGGCCTCCCCCTCCCCTAAGCACCCCGACACTCACCCCGCCCAGGACTCCTCCCTCTTCTCAGACCCCAGGAGGCCCTGCACATTCCCGCCCTGTCTCAGGTCCCTCCGCCCTGGACTGTCCACCCCATCATCCGCAACCCCTGTCCTGCTCCACTGCCCACCCCCGCTCCCGCCTGCCCCCACGCTGCCTCCGCGCCAGAGGGCTCAGGCTGCAGCAGGCCCTCCCCACCCCCCGGCCCTGCCTCAGCATCACCCCTGCCTCGGTTGCCGCATCCCAGCATCAAAAGCCAGCGCCCACCCCCCCGCTTCGCGCCCAGTCCCCCCGCTTCGCGCCCACACACCCGCTTTGCGCCCACACACCCACTTCGCGCCCACCCGCTTCGCATGCACCCCCACTTCGCGTGCACCCCCACGTCACGCGCCCCCCCACCCCGCCTCGCGCGCAGCAAAGCCTGACTCGGTGCCTCTCCCACCACCACCCGCGTCCTACTCCTCCCGAGGCGGCTCTTGCTGAAACGGCGCCTACACCGGTCACTTCCCTCCCCTCAGCCCAGCCCAGGGCGCTTGGGGCGCCGCCCCAGACCGCTGTCGGCGTCGGGGCTGGACACGGGGACGCCTTGTGTCCCCCCGCCCCGAACTGCCACGGCCTCCCCTCCCCACTACTGGCCCGCGGTCAGGCCCCTCTTCCCCCCGCACCTCCGGGAGGCCGCGGCGCCCCGGCCTGCTGAGCCCCAGACCGCCCCCTCCCCTCCTCTCCGACCCAGCCTGCGCCCCGCGGGTGTTCGCGGGCGCCGACTCCGCCTGCCCTCCGCAGAGGGACGACTGCAGTCCAAACCCGACGGACGCCGTCGTCCTCCCGTCCCCAGAGGTGGCGAGGGGGTGGCCAGCTCAGGCCCAGGCCTCAGGGCGGCCCCGCAGCCCCGGC